TAGTCGTTGCTGAGCACATTTGCACAGAGCCAAGGGCTCTCCTGTTTCTCACACTGTCCCACTGGTGTTAGGCTGGGGGGGCACAAGGAGCTGGGAGGTGACACAGCTGGGACTGCCCAAGGGATATTCCAGACCATACAGTGTCATGCTCAGTATATAAAGCTGGGGAAAGGAGGAGGAAGAGGGGGTGTTTGGACTGATGGCATTTGTCTGCCCCAGGCACTGTTCCACGTGAAGAGCCAGCTCTCCTGGAGATGCTGCACACCTGCCTGCCCATGGGAAGTGCAGAATGAATTCCTTGGTTTGCTTTACTTATTAAACTGCCCCTATCTGAACTCACTGGTTATCTCACTTTGACCCTTCTGATTCTCCCCCATCCCATCAGGAGTGAGTGAGCAGCAGCAGGGGGAGGAGGAGGGGCTCAGGTGCCCTCCAGAGTTAAACTACAACATGTTTTCAGATGTGATTTTGTAAAGCAATGGAGATAGAGTCACTTCTCCTTCTAACTAGCTGGACTTTCCTTTAATGCATGCACCATGACTTGAATATTTAGTTATGAGGCAACCAGATCACATAATGCGCTACACGAAGTGTCCCCATGAACCAGAACCTGGTCTAAGCTCAACAGTACAAACATCCCAGAACCTGATGGCTTTCTGCTCTGCTGAAAACAACACATTGATGATGAGGGGCATTCTAAGTGAGTCCTCATTTTAAATGGTCCTCTGCATTCAGGAACAATTAAGAGTGTTATTAAATACAGCCCTGGCAGAGACACTGAAGATTTGTCCAGAGGAAAGGATAAGCAAGAGACCATGATTAAGTGGATATTCTAAAGCAGCCCACTAACACTGAGCCAGATCTCCAATCCTTCTTGGCCTGGACTCAGACACAGGTGACATGGTCTTACCTGGAACGAACGGAGGTGACCAGCTACTTTGACATAAGTTCCTGGAGGTACCACAACATTGTCACCTCCTGCCTCCTAACAGAGAGGGAAAGGAGAGAGGTTTGCTGATTCACATTTCCATTTCTCAATTATCACAATAAATGACTCAGCAAAAGAGGCTCATCTCAAGCAAGCACAAACAACGTGCATTGCTATGTCCAGTAAGAGCAGTTAGATAAACATAATTGTAAATGAAAAATAAAAGCATTTACACACTGGAGAGCAGTCAGAGCCACTTGTCTGCTCTGCTGTTTCTGTCTGCTTATGAGAGATTCTCAGAGCAACAAGAGGAAAAGACTCTTGAATACTAAAAAAGCAAGTGTTCAATGCTATACCATGGCTGGGGAATGGGGCAGGCCAGAGCCATTTCTGAACTCAGGATAACCTTGCAGAAAGCCAATTGAATGTCTGCCTGATTATCCTCCCGAAGCTGTTCAACTGAGCTCAGCTGTAACAGCAGCATCTCCCTTGGATTTCAGGGACATATTATTCCTAAAACACTTCTCAGAAAAGCTACATCTTTTTGATAAAAACCTCTGTGAGATGCAGGGAGCTGGTCCTTACAGGTCCCTTCCAGTTGAGACACTGTACTATTCTATAAGTTTTCTCTCCCCACTGCTCTCAAAGGCTGTCAAAGAAGCGTGTTCAGAGCAAATCCAATGCTTACATCGGTGTCAACCCATTGCCTGACGTCCATCGGCGCTGCTGTCATGTCATCCACTTTGTAGAGGATGTTGGTGGGCGCCTTCTCCGCGTGCCGGACGATGCCCACGACGGTGACCTGCGGGGAGGGGGGGAAGTTGCCCGGGCCGCCCGCGGGACTCGGGGCCACCCCGCCCGCGGCCGCCCACCTGCGAGATCTCCACGTCGCAGATCCGGAATGTCTCGTCGACCTGCTCTCGCCTTCAGCAGCGCGAACACCGATGCAGGCACGATGTTCTGACGAGCGGCTCCGCTGCGAGGGGCGCGGAGCGTCAGGGCCGGTTCGGTCCCGGCAGGACGGCCCCGGCCCGGCCGCCCCCCGCCAGGCCCTACCTGCTTCTTCTCCCTGGGCGGCCGGGCGGGCGACCCGAACCCCCCTGGCGACTGCAAGGTAGCCGCCCGGGCCCCGCGCCGCCCACGTGCCGTACCCGCCGTCGAATTTTCCCTGCGGGGGAAGGCAGAGACCGTGAAGGCGGCGGCGTGGTGCCCGCTCCCCACTGCTGCCGCCATCACCGCCTCGAGCGCTCCGTCACCACGCGGCCCCCGGGCGCTGCCCGCGGCCCCTGCCCGGTGCCCGCTGTCCCTGTTGCCCGCTGTCCCGTCCCGTCCCCACCGGTGCGCTCCACATGGTCCGCACGGATCGGCCGCCACCGGCCCGCGCGCGCCGGCCCTCCGCGCGCCGCCCCGCGCCTGCCCAATCCGGGGAGTCGCCAGCTCTGCCCGGCCGGGCGACCATCGCGACCCTCCTGATCTATCAAGCCTCCGTTCCAATAGAGAGAGCCGTGGCGAAGCCTCCGCCGCCATTTCGAGAGTAGGCGCTGCCCGGCCCCGCCGCGGGGAGGGGGCGGGGCCGAAGGGGCGGGCCCAGGGCCCAGGTGACAGGTGGGGCACGGGCGGGGGAGGGACAGAGCACAGGAAAGCACAGCAGAGCACAGGGCAACAGAGCACAGGGCACAGCCGAACACGGAGCACAAAGCACAGCAGAACACGGAGCAACAGCAAAGCGAGGCACAGCCAGGGTGCCCCATTGGCAGCCCTGGACGCAGTCGGCGTACGCACTGCTGCTGCTGTATGCCCGCTGCCGCGCCCTTGCCCGGTGCTCGCGCGGACGCGGGCGGTTTCTGCACTCACGACCTGCACTATGGGACCCCCGAGGTACGAAGGCGCGGGCGGCGGCGGGCGCGCCGTGTCGTCAGGCAGCGGCCCGGTCCGGCCCCGCAGGGCCCCTGGCAGCACGTTACCTGTGCGACGCGCCCTGGGCGCTGCTCCGCTCGGCCGCGCGGGCCACGCGGGACATCCTGCCCGCGCCCGACTTCGTGCTCTGGACCGGGTGAGGAGCGGCCGGACCGGGCGGGACGGGGAAGGGCAGCGGAGCCCGTACGGAGCCCGGGGGGGGTCAGGGCTCTTTCCGTGGTCCCCACTTTGGAGAGGGGAGGGGGAACGTGCCTCGTAATGAAGAACGAGGGCGTGAGCACAACCCCAGCGAGGGCTCTCAACGCTCCGATACACCCTAGCAGTGAAAGGCAGTGAGGTGATGGAAGGATCACAACTCACGGTCCGTCTTTCCCTTGTTCATCCTGCCCGGCCCTGTCTGACTCCGCAGTGACTCTGAGTGCCTGGAACGCCCAGGGAAGGGGCTGTGGGGTGTGTGTTACACCAGGTCCTGCCGGTCAGAGCAGTGGGAGGAGAGCGCTGCAAACCAGGCTTGTGGCATTTCTTCTGGCTGCAGATGAGGCACCTGGGAGACCTGTCTCAAAAAGGGGCTGTTTTGCTTTAGGAGTAGGGGTTCTCTCCTGTCGTGGTCTCCAGGAGTGGGTTTCTGGTCCCTCAAGTGCACTTACTGCCCCAACAGCACTTTCAGTAAAAGCTGTATTTTCATGGTGATTGTAAGTGTGTATGGCCTTTCTTCTCACAGTGCAACCTTAACCTGCAATCTGCTGCACTCTCCAGTTCCAGGAGGCTGTTGCCTCCTGAAAACATGAAATGTTTTCATTTTCTGTCCCCGGAGATGCATGTTGCTGCTTAGATGTAGTTATTGCTCCTTGTGACCTTATGTTGAGCATTCTTTTTCCTCAAACGATTTCTCCAAGTTCTCTCACATGATTTTGAATGTTGATCTCCTTCTTCAGTGGGCTGGTGGCCAGCCCAGCATTAACTACAAATGCCATGAGTGTGTCAGTGCAAACACAGACGTGTGTGTCTGGGGCACTTTGGAGCAGCACCGGATTGCTGCCTTACTGGACGTATTCCCTTGCTTTATGGTGATCACAGCTGTGCAAACAGCTCTGCTTCACTATTGCTGATCAGATGGTGCCCTCAGATTGCGAAGTGCTGATCCTGGCAATATTTCCAGGCAGCTTTAGTGCCTGTGACATGCCCTGAGGGAGAGGGAGCATCCCCTTTACACCCTTGTGTTCAGGGGTTTTAAGGTAAAGTGAATCACAGAGTATCCTGAGCTGGAGAGGACCCACAAGGATCATCAAAGTCCCACTCCTGGCCCTGCACAGGACACTCCAACAATCCCACCATGTGCCTGAGAGTGGTACCCAAAGGCTCCTTGAGCTCTGGCAGGTTTGGAGTGGAGCTTGTTTTCTCTCTGTGCAATTCCTTGAAACTCCCTCAGTACCCTGACCAGTCAACATGAATTCTGCCCCCAAAAGCTTCAACTGTCCCTTCTAGGAGGCATAGAGAGAAGTCAGCAAGTTTCTGTGCCTTGCTCATCGCTGTGAGTGCAGGTCCTATTAGTCCCAGACAGTGACTGTGCTGCTGCTTTTTTTTCAGAGATGACACTCCCCATGTCCCCAATGAGCAGCTCGGAGAAGAAAAGGTTCTGCACATAATAGCAAACCTGACTTCTCTGATAAAAGAGACATTTCCAGGTAGGATTTGAGGGGATGAGAAGGGGAGAGGAGCAAAGAGACTCGTGGGAAGGGCTTACCAGGGTGAAGAAATGACAGAATTCAGACAGAGAAAGGCACAGAAGGGCTGTGGTCGCTGGGACTTGTTTGTCCTCTTCCCAGTGGCCTCAATTCTGATGTGCCTCATGCATTGATGCACTTTCATGTTCCAGGTTAGCTCACTCAGGAGAGAGGAAAATAAAGGTTTCTGTTATTAGCCATTAAAGCAGAAGAAACTGCAAGATTCTCTCAGACATAACCCCTGACAGCAAGAGAGAAGGCACTGCTGTGCCAGCTCAGGGACTCGGCTGGGGGGGCTCATCCCGAGGGGGGTCAGAGCTGAGCAGTGCCCCTGGTCAGTGTGGCCCCAGGGCAGGGGGTGGGGGACTGGCCCTGGCAAAGCCTTGGCCTTGAGTGCCCCGGGGAACTCTGGGGAGCTCTGCAGCTCTGACTCCTCTGCACCTCCTTTACCCTCTCTCCAGGTACCAAAGTCTATGCGGCGATGGGCAATCATGACTTCCACCCCAAGAATCAGTTTCCTGGGAAGGAGCACAGGATCTACAACCAAACAGCGGAACTGTGGCGGCCCTGGTTGAGTGATGCCTCCCTCCCTCTCTTCAGAGCAGGTCTGGCACCACTGGCTCGTGTTGGCAGCACTCTGGGGAGATGGGGAAGGGTAGGAGAATACCATGACCAGTTTTCCTTGCCTTAGAGCTCAGAGCATCAGTATTCATAGAGGACTGGCAGAGAAAGGGTCCAATTTAGTGCTGATTTCTGGCATGGAGTTCTGCTTGCAAGAAGATAATTTTTTTTATACTTTAGTCTCTCCTGTCATTGTCAAGTTACTGGAAAGAATGCAGAGTGGTGAGCTGCACAAGGAGGAAAAAGATCTTTAAAGGTACCAGCTGGGGCAGGCAGTGCTGTGCCTCCTCATAGCTGCCCACTCCTGGTGCTGCCCACTGTCCCCATGCAGGTCTCCCTTTAGTGGGACAGGCACAAGCATGACAAGAGGCACACAGGGAAGAATCACCCCAAACACCCATCCTCTGCCCAGTAGTGGGCAGAGCACTACTGGTGCCTGGTTCAGGCAGTGACCCTGCTGTGGCTATTGCTAAGGAGAGCAGAGAGAAGTGGAAACAAAGGGATCTGGGATCACAGCCACCAGTGTGATCAGACCTCCAGCTCTTTCCCTGTCGTGTTTTTCAGGAGCTTTCTACAGTGAGAAGCTGCCCAGCCCAGGGACGAGAGGGAGGATGGTTGTCCTCAATACCAACCTGTACTATGACCAGAATGACGAGACAGCTGCTGAGGAGGATCCTGGGGGGCAGTTCCAGTGGCTGGAAGAAACACTGACCAACGCCTCCAGAGCAGATGAAATGGTATTAACAAAGGAATGGATGAACAATGGCCGTAGAGAGCTCCTCCCAGCCCTGCTCTCCCCTGGGGCAGTCACAGCCACGGGGCTCTGTGGGCAGCACGGGCTCTGTGCTCAGGGCAGCTCTTCTGCAGGTCTACCTTGTGGGGCACGTCCCTCCCGGCTTCTTTGAGAAGAAACGAGGCAAGGCCTGGTTCCGGAGGGGCTTTAACGAACGGTACCTGGGCATTGTGCAGAGGCACCACAGGGTGATCGCTGCCCAGTTCTTCGGGCACCATCACACCGACAGCTTCCGCATGTTTTACAGCGACACAGGTACCCGTTCTGCTCACCCAAGCACCCGTGGGACAGCTCTGCCAGCTCCCAGAATCACTGTCCATGGGAGGTGTCAGTGGCTGTTGGCTGAAGGCAGCTGAGAAGCCAGCAAAGGCTTGTGAAATACTCTGGGCAACAAGAGGCACCAGTGGTTCTCATCTCCACCCCCAGCCTGTAGCTCCTGACCTCCTTCCTGTTCATCCTCAAATGTTGTTTCCCCTCAATGACTGGCAGCTTCTTGCCTGTTGCCTGTGCAGGGGTTTAGGCATGGCTGGGGTGTGAGGGAGCAGTGTTGGAGTGGTGCAGAGTGCTCTGAGCACAGGGGGTGGTTCCCCAGCCACCCTCACTGCAGGAGCCCTTGCCTGCAGTGGAAAGCCTGTTCCAGGCTGCAGGAGCCCCATGTTCAGACCCCGATGCTGCTCCATGTGCTGATCTTTGTGTGCACCAAGGGCTGGTGACAGAGATGCTCTTGGGCAGTGCCATCAGCTCCAGGTGCTCGCTGCGATGGGGACAGGGTGTGGGGCAAGCCAAGGTCTCCAGTTACAGGTTGCTTTGCCTTTCTGTGAAGGTTCTCCAATCAATGTCATGTTCCTGGCCCCTGGAGTGACTCCCTGGAAAACAACATTACCTGGAGTGAATAATGGAGCCAACAACCCTGGGATTCGGGTGATCGACTACGATCCGGACACCCTTCAGGTGTTGGTAGGGGATCCCCTGTGCTGCACACTGCAGCTCTGGAAGAGAACTTCTATTTCTCCCTGTGGTCAGAACAGGCAGGACCACAGGAGCTGAGCAGCTGTGTGGGAGAGGACCCTGACTCAGGATATTTGAGCCTCGTGCCTGGCACAGATATTTAGTCAGAGTGTCAGTGAGTTGAGGCCCAGGCCCCCACAGCCAGTGCATCCTGCTGGGATGAGTTCCTCAGAGCAGGGGCAGACAGGTTTTGCCGGCTTGTTCGTGTCCTTAAGAGAGATTCCTTTGACACTTCTTTGCTCCCCAGATAGTGTGGATCACAGAACTCCTCTTTGAGTACTAACAGACCTGTCAGATCCCCTCCAAAAACTGTAAACCATCTGGAAAATTATTTGTGTACCTGTGTTTGCTAAAGTGATGGATTTGATCTGAATTGAGGTGAATTGTAGGGGCAGCTGCTGTTTCCCATCTCTTGCTTGCCAGGAGGTAGAGGATGGATGCTTGTACCTCCTATTGCAGTGGATGGAGCTCTCTGTAGTTGCTCTGTTTACATGTTTATAGCTTGTGAAGTGAATGCTAAAATATGCTGTGCAAGGCTGGGGAGCCAGTGAAGCAGAGAGAAAAAGGGCAAGAGACTGAGAACAGAGGTTGTGAAAAACTTGATTCTTCAGTTTGTTCACAGTTGAGAAATTAACTTTATTTGGGAAGTAACACTTCTCCAGCCCTTGCTTCTGCCAGTGGACAGTACTGATAGTAACTAACTGATGTTTGAAGAAGGCCAGGCTCAAAGTTTGGACGTAAAAATCAAGCAGAGCAAAGCCACCCCTTCAACCTTTAGGAAACAGGCTGCATTTGGGGTGGGTTCTGGAGGCTCTCACCTGAGGTGTGTCTCCAGGTGCCGGAATTGGTAGGAAGCCCTGCCAGGGGCAGCTGTGCCCTGGGGGCAGGGGATGTGCTGCTGTGGTTGTGATCCCAGCCCAGCCCAGCATCTCACTCCAGGTCAATCCTGTCCTGATGTGTCCCCACTTCTGTTTTTCTCTCCCTCAGGATATGGTGACTTACTACTTGAACCTCACTCGTGCCAACACGATGGCCTCGCCAGGGGAGGCAGAGTTCCCAGCGTGGGAGGCAGAGTACAGCCTGACAGGAGCCTTCCAGGTCCCTGATGGCTCCGCACGCTCCATGCAGACGGTGCTGGAGAGGATCTCAGGGGACCCTCGCTACCTGCAGAGCTACTACGAGTTCAACTCTGCCAGATATGACCTGGCACCGTGCAAGCAGGAATGTCGTGTGGATCACCTGTGTGCCATCAGGGAAGTTGATTTTATGAAGTATGATGAGTGTGTGAAAACCAGCAGTGCTGCCTCCGCTGCCAGTGGCGTTTGGCTTTTGGTTTTCTGTGTGTTCTTAGGACTTCTCAGTCCCCAGTGAGTGCCGTGATGGCCGAGAGCAAGAGAAAAGGAGGAGAGCACGAGATCCCACTGCACGTGAATCAGTGATTTTGGCATTAGAAACCAGGACAAAATCACTAGTGTTTACTAAAAGCTCTGCGATACTGACTTGCACTTTTCTAGACAATCTTGATGTGTGAGGGGGGTACAATAATCATGAGAACCTTGTTGTGCTGGACTGCCTGCATTGAGGAATCTGTCTCCCCTCTGCTGGGACTGCTGGGATAGCCTCACAAATCAGATGAAGACCAGGCCTTCCTGTGGACATGACCTGCCCACAGGTGAGAGATGTATTCTTGGAGGCTGCTGCCAACATTCCTCAGGTTGGCACACAGTTCTTTTCTGAAAGGACGGTACAGCTGGTGACCCAGAAAGTCTTGTTATGGTGGCAGAAGCCTCTGGCTTGTGAGCAAAGCCATGTGGGGTGGCAATGTCTGGACTTCAGCAGACTTTGGTGTCTCAGTGCTGAAGAGGAAGCACTGATGATTGTCTTTGCACCCTCCAATTGCTGAGCATAAACAGCTCTATTCTCTCTTCTGTGCTCTCTTCACTTGCATTCACTGAGTTCCCTCCCTCAGCTGGGCGTGGCAGCTTCACCAGTGAGATATGAGGTGGTGATTTACAGCCTTGGGCTTTGCCAGCTGCTCCGAGACCTTGAGGGAACCAGTACAGAGTGCTGGTGTTGGACTGTGGGTACGGGGGATGAGGTGCAGGAGGAGCGTGCACTGGCTGTGGAGGCAGCTCTGGGCTCTCCGGGGGGGTCTGACCCGGAGCTCTCGAGGCAGTGGGTGGTCGTACCCCGAGCAGGCCCCGGATGGCCGTGGCTTTGCCGCCGTGGCTGGTGTTTGCCCCCGGGACCCCTTCAGAGTGTGTGTGGAGCGATGCTGCAGTGCCCGAGCATTCCCCGCCGGCCCCGGTGCAGCCCGGGAAGGGCCGGGACCCCTGTGAACACCCCACTCCACTCCTGGGCTGCAGGGCTGGCAGCCCCTGTCCCCTCCAGCTCCGTGTCACCACAGCTCCCTGCAGCAAGCACAGATCCGAAAGGGAAGGGTGGGAGGCAGGTGGGATTGCCGGCGTTGCCCGTCCTGAAATCCTCCTGTTTGCAGCGGGATGACCGAGCGGGCACGTCCCAGCCCGGGCCCATCGGTCCCCTCGTTAGTTCTGAAGCCCCCCCGAGCGAAGCGTGGCCGGGGCTCCGGGGGAACAGGCGGTGCGGGGCTCGAGGTGCTGCCCCGGTGCAGCAGAAGAGCGCTGCGGGACCGTGGCGGGGCCGAGCCCCGGGGCTGCGGCGGGAGGCGAAGGTGCGAGGTGCGGGGGGTTATCCCGGCGGGATGACGGGGGGAGGTGTCGGGGGGTTATCCGGTGGCGGGAATGACGAGGGGGAGGTGCGGGGGGTTATCCGGCGGGAAGACTGAAGGGGGAGGTGCGGGGGGTTATCCCGGCGGGAATGAACGGGGGGAGGCTGCGGGGGTTATCCGGCGGGAATGACGAGGGGGAGGTGCGGGGGTTATCCCGGCGGGATGAACGGGGGCAGGGGCGGGGGTTATCCGGCGGGAATGGAAACGAGGGGAGGTGCGGGGGGTTATCCGCGGCGGGGAAATGACGGGGGGGAGGTGGCGGGGTTATCCCGGCGGGAATGAACGGGGGAGGTGCCGGGGGTTATCCCGGCGGGAATGACGGGGGTCCAGGGGAGCCGGGGCGACGCTGCCCCGTGGGGGGGCCGCTGGTCCGGGGCGATCCTGCCCCCACATCTGCTCTGCGCCCCGGTATTGTTTAAGCTTTAGTATTTAAGGCTTCCTCCTCCTCTACCGTTCTGCAACTGTGCTTGAAACCTTTCCCAGACGTTTGCCAGATTTTATGGCAAAAGAGACAGCAAGGGTGATGTACAAGAAGGTGGAGAGCAGAGATTGACGCTCTTTAGCTGCTTCTCTCTTAAAGCTTCCCTGAGGAGGACATCGGTTCTGGAAAATTCATACAAAACAAAAGACAATAACCAAATCCACCACCAGGGCTGCTGGAAAGCTGCTGCTCTTGCTGTTTTACTGGTTATGGGACCTTCAGGGAAGGGTCATTTAACCCTGTGACCCAAACTCCACAGTTGTTGATCCTAAATTGGCTCCAGTCTTACTTCACACTCTCCCTCTTTCTCCAGCATTGCCTTTCCCACACCCAGCAGGTAAGGCCCACTGACACCACACAGCTCCTATGGATGAGGAGCTGTACCTGGTGTTGAGAAGCAAAAGCAGAAACATTTTTTCCCCTTTACCTACTACTGCTAGATTGAGAGTTTTGAGATCAAAGAACCTACAGCTGTCCTGATTGCTTTTGAAAAAGCACATCTCAAACAGCACTTGACCCCTGAGCCCAGCAACCGCCCTTACAGCCCCAGGTCTTCTCCCAAGCCATGTCTTGCAGTCCAGCCCTCTCCTGTGGTCTCTCCCCGTGCCACTGAGGTTTCAAAGTCCTTGGTGTAATTGCACAACTGCACACTCACCCGTTCTGCACTGGAAGCTGTTCCTGCTCTCCTGAAGGGCCCCAGGATGATCCCAGCTCCTCTCCAACAAGTCCTGCTTTCAGGCGTGTCAGTGCAGGGTCTGACACATCAGTACCTCACTGAACAGCCCTGCGAACACACCCCCTGTCAGTTCACCTCGAGCTCTGCGGCTGCCCCCTGGTGCTGCCCTCTCGTATTTCCAGACCGAAAGACAAAGGAAGGGTTACAGTGACAATCCAGGGAATGCTGCAAGGACAGATGTTCCTGGAAAACACTACTATCTTCTTTAGCTCAATCATTGTTGATTCAGCTGCAAACTAGTCTCCATTTCGCTCCCATCTCTGCATTCACACTGCAGAGGTCTTCTGCTTATTGTGCAAGTTGCCTCCCTTTTAAATCCTTCATTTAATACAGGAGATGAACAGTTCACCAACCCACACTGACAGTGTCAGACCACAAAGGGAGCCCCTTCACCTGCACCAGCGGTTTCTGCCTGTGGCAGGTGAGCAGCTTGCACATGAACTGTGAGCCTGCTGCCAAAACCACAGTGCAAATGTACCCTCCCCAGCTGCTGCTTCATTGGGAAAAAAATTATGTAGAGCATAAGTATTGCTGATTTCATCAAAGCTGGGGAGTCCCTCTCAACCCTGTGCAGGTCCCATGGCTCTCTGTAAGCAGGCCCCAGGTTGGTGTTTCTCACTGCAGTGTCCCCGGGGACTGAGCCTGCCAAAGGCCATGCTGTGTCAGAGCAGCAGCCTGGGCAATGAGAGCAGCAGAGCTGGGCTCTGAAGTACAACTTACAGAGAGAATTAGGCCAGAATCAGGAAAAACTCCACTTGGAAAACAAAGGCAACCACTGTTAAAAATCCACTGTTAGGTGTCACTCATGTGCCAAAGTGCAGCACGAGGCAGCAGAGAGGGTCACGAGCAGCTTTAGGAGCTGCAGCCTGAGGCAGGACAAGGCCTGCAGGGAGAAGTGCACTTTGCCATGGCAGGATCCTCCCATGAGCCACAGCATAAGGGGCAGCCTCAGCTGCACCAGTGCAGACTGGAATGAACACACTACACTCCAAACTGGCAAAATCCGCATTTAATTTACAACATAGTAAAGGTTACAGTTAAAAAGCTCAACAGAAGTGTGAAAAGGCCTATTACATATTACACAAGTGTACAAACGTCTGTACAAAGCCCCTTGATGTTCCTGTCCCCTCCTGGCCAGCCGTGGCCCCTAAGCTCTGAAATAACGAGAGCTGGTTCAGAGCCAGGGAGGAGAAGAGCTTTAAAAAACAATGAGCAGTGAAGCTTCCCTTGTCAAGAAAAATCTTGCAAAGAGCCACTTGCAAAGAAACCAAAACTACCCCCCAACAGACAAAAAAACCCCAAAATAAAACAGAAAAAGAAGAAAACTTGTTCAACTTTTGTTTGCCCTGACTATTCTTATCCTAAAGAGTTGCCTTCAGAAAGCAACTGAGTGGGAAACGAAAATCCTACAGGCCAGACTAAAGGGAGAAAGATTTGGAGAGTCATTGTGGGAGTGCTGGGAAGCAGAACAAACGCCCGAGGGCTGAATCATCAATGGCAACTAAACAGAACAGCACAGCTGGATCACAGAGCAGGTGCTGAACCACCCATGGAATAGTGTGAGCTGGACAGATGGTGCAAGGAGGGAACAGAGCAGTCTCTGAATCCATCGCTCTCGTGAGCGGGGCAGCTTTACCTCAGGGACATGATAGAAGCAATCACGGAGCAGAACTCACTTGGATTTTGGAGCATCTGCCCAAAAGGGTCTGGTGCATCCAGCACTCCCTGCACTGGAACACAGCCCTGCTCCAGCACTATCCAGCACCCCCTGCACTGGAACACAGTACTGATCCAGCACCCCAGCACTACTTCACCAGGCAGCCACAGTCCTGCACACAGTGAGCAGGGTCTCATTTTGCTGCACGTTTTCTGGATCCCCCAAACAACAAAGGAATGTGACTTGTAGCTGAACTGCACTAGAGAGTTTACAAAAACTCCAGAGCAAACCGAAGAATAAGAGAGCTCTGGCCTTACCTTGCGTAAAGTACAGCCACAGTGTCTGGACATGTGAATCATTTTCAAATCTAAGCCCACAGATCTGAAGGGCTGGAGCAAAAACCCATCAAGCTTCTCATTTTATTCAATGGGAAAAGGTGATGAAGGAATCAAAAAATGTGCTATTATGGAACCAGCTTGTGCACTGCTTTATTATCTCTACTGAGAATTCCTATTCTGGATCTCAGTAGCACTTGATCCTCACCTGCTGTTCCCAGCAGCCAAAATATTTGCAGATTGGGGGTTTAGGTGTGGAAGGGAACCAGTCCTCTGGCTCTGCTGACAACTGCTCAGCTTTGTGTCCTGTTGCATCTCATATATGCTAAGCTTAAAAGTTCCATTTGCAAATAAAAATGACACTAAGTTACAAGGGCCACCAAATGTAAAAGAAACTGTTCTCTGTGTTAACCTCACCCTGAGTTATCCCAGGGGAGTCACCAGGGCTGTTGGCACCACAGCACAGTGCAGACAGCGCCTGTCTCCCCATCAGACACTCTGACCTGTGCACCCAGTACCCATCCCACAGCCCCCACCCTGCAGCACTGGAACAAAGCTGAGGAACCCACCTACTGCTTGTCCATCTTAACTTACGACTCATGGGATGCTCTAGTGTTTTACATGGAAATTAAAACAAGCTGTAGGCAAACTAAAAATAATAATAATGAAAAGAGAATGCCCCACATTGGTGGGTTTTGAAAATATAAAAAATAAAAGCTGACCTATATTCTGCAAGTTTTACAACTCCTATCAATGGGACTCTGCAAGGCTTGGCCCCAGAAACATTTGCTGTGAGCATGTCCAGCAGGAACAGTGTCACCCACAGCGAGCCTGTCACCAAAACACACGGATCTGCAGGGCCATGCCATAAGTGAGAATGGAACTGTGACTGCCCCTTTGACTGGCGGACCCAAACTCAGTGTAAAGACCTCTGGGACAGTGGTGGCTAAGAAAAGGCTGCAGGGATTTTGGTTCAAAAGGAGCTGGGAGCTGTATTTTTTTTTTTAAACAGACATATAAAAATGTTTGAAGACAGATCTTTAAAGGATATTTCACTTCTCCAATCTCAGTATTACATCTGTTAGAACACTGAAAGTTTAAAAAGACGCACATGAAGAGTTTGTGGAGTTGGTGACTCCCACCCTCCCTCAGCCCAGCTCAGATCAGCAGGGACGGGGTCGGCTTCTTGCCCGGCCAGGCCTCCTTGGCGTATTTCTTCTTCTTGGGTTCATTCACAGCTTCGGGGTTGAAGACGGCCGGGTTTGGAGCTGGGTTCATGTTCACTGTGGAGGGCACAACTGGAGTCAAGTCCACGTCGGGGGCGAGGTTGGGGTAGGGCATGGGCAGCCCCCCGATGAGCGCGGTGCCGTGCACGCCGTGCGACTGCGGCCCCGCCTCGCTGTGGGTGGGGGGCAGCCCCCCGTACAAGCCCCCGGTGTAGGGGAAGTTCTGCATGCGCCGGGACGTGGAGTCCTCCGGGGGCAGCGAGCCCGCGTTCTCCAGACGCTTCTTCTGCAGGCACAAGTATTGAAAGAGTTATTGTAAAGGCATGAAACCATCAAGCTCTTCAAACTCGATGCCAAGGCTATTTCCCCCCAAAAAGGCATCTAAATCTGCCACATACAAAGTTCCTACAGACAATGTCCCAGTCTGTGTCCCTCAAGTTTTCTTCTGGGTTTCCCTGACAACCACAATAATAAACTCTTAAAGATGCACAATGCAGGAAGGGTGACAGAAGCTGAAGCTCAGGTGTAACTCAGATGAAGCCTGAGCACCTTTTCACCTGCTCTATACTCCTGCCAGTCTTGAGCTTGTCCTGAATGAAGACTGAGTAGGTCTTTAGCCAGCAGACTCATAGAATGTCCTGGGTTGGAAGGGACCCACAAGGATCATCCAGTCCAACTCCTGGCCCAGCACAGGACACCCCAACAATCCCACCATGTGCCTGAGAGTGTTATAACACAAACCTGCCCTCCCCCACAGAAAGAAACTGCAACTTCGAGATCATTTGGGTAATTCTGCTCCTGATCACTGGAATCTTCTCCAGCAGTCGGGCTTATGGAAAAGTATCCTTCTCCATGTGATGTTATTTAGTCTATACCAGCAACAAGTGGAATTGCTGTTACATAGTGGCTTAGCTGCTCTGGAGCTTTGCAGATCTTCCCTCCTCCTCACATATTCCAATTAAATAGAGCACTGTCAACACACACTCATCTTGGAGCAAGATGTTCTAGTACACAACCTTATGAAACCTTTAGCACTCAGTATTTAAACAAACAATCTCTCTTTTTTACCCTCTATTTTCCACACTTCCCACAATTTTAACCGATGTCTGGAAATAATGCACCGAATTTCTGTAAACTGTTTGTTTTTGGGAGGAAAAAAAAATCACCACTGATCCCATGTGTCATTGAAGAAAAGAGGGTTTGAAGAAACCTGGGTTTGAAGGGAAATGGTCGAATTTGCAAAAAAAGACAATTGTGAAACACAGACATCACTTTGGAACGGTCTGTTTCTAAGGTGCACTTCATACAGTGAGTTCATCAATGTAAGGTGCTAATGAGGAACATGGGAGTCACTCCGTACCTTCACAGGGACCACTGCTGTCTGTACCATGTTCCGGAACCGCCCCACAGATGGGTCCACGTCCTCTGCAAAGCAAGAACAGCGATGCCTTCAGTGAGGACACGGGCAAAGCAGAACCCACGGGGAAAACTGGAACACAGACCTTCTCCTCCCAAAGCCAGCACTTCAGCACTTCCCAGCGAGCACAAGTGTGACCAAATAAAGAATGGGGCTCAAGGGACACCCAGTGGCTTTGTCTCCAGTTGGCTCACCAGGCATCTTGGTAAGGAATGCTTTCCCTCAAATGAAGAATGGGAAGGGGAGCAGCCGGATGGGCAGTTTGGGATCACACAGGTTGGAGTTTGGGCTGAAAGCTGCTGCTGACAAGGCACTGCACATGCTAAAGGCACAGCAGCCAGTCCCCAAAGTCCTTGGGGGGCCTTGAAGGAGGAGTCAGAAGCAGTCAATATAAGTTCCTGAAAGTCTGGAAAAACTATTTTTTTTTTTTTTGCAATGTGAATGACTGGCATTTGCATTAGGATGTTCTGAGCACTGAACTGCATCACCTTATAAACCAAAATGGTCACTCTGGGTGCTCTACTGTGCCAGTGGAACCACCTCCACACCATATTTCAAAATGCCGGCTCATTAATTAGCTACTCTTATTAACAGGAATACTATCCATATAAAGTATCATTGATAGGAATGCCATTAATACAGAACAGCTAAAGGAGAAAAAAAGACTCATTTGGAATTGGATGTGTTCAGATGCATCAGTTTGAATGAGGATTGAGGACAACCTGGTTCAGATGTACAGACAAGTAGCAAAGACCCTCTGAGCTGGAGACAGATACCCCGGAGGCAACAGGTAAGTAAAGCATTAGGGGACAAAGAAAAACAAACAAGTTCCATTCCCATTTAGATTCTAAAGAAGGCAAAAAATGTAAACCTTCCTCCTTTTGGACCCATGACATTTTTCCTATATCTGACAAAATATTGAGCAATGAAGCTGAGTGTGATGTCCCCATCCTGCACAGACCACACAATTACTTTACAGGTACAACAGAAGAAACAAGAGAGAGGTCAAAGACTTCAGTGAGAAATGTGGCAGCTTCTCTGAAACAGCTGATCCCAAATGTTGACTGCCTTATCCATATGCAGCCATGAGGAATCCCTATGAGAATATAAGAAGGAGGTCCTGAAGAGCATCAACTAAATATTAAAGCAAAGTCCTTACCTGGATTGATGATCTCATCGTCATCACTGAACGTCACTCTGGAGTTCTTCCGTTTCCTCTTTGGCCTCTGGATGTCCAAGTTCCCTTCCTCAATGGTCAGCGTGGAGATCCTCTTGTTGTGGGCTGTATTAAACTCTGTCAGGTTCTAATGGCAAATTTGGAGACGAAAGAGTTTAAGCAACTAGTGTATGAAATCTGATTTAATCATGTGACTGTGCACATTGAAAGACCACAGGACACTGTTTAGTTTCAACTTCAGACCCCAAGGAAGAAGCAGAGCTTCAGGGCTGCAACGAGCTGCCCCGAGAGGCTGCGGAGTCTCTGCAGAGAGATTCAGAACTGAGCACCATCCTGGGCAGTCACTCCAGCTGGCCCTGCTTGAGCTGATTGATGATTCTAAGAGTTCCCTTCCAACATCCACAATCCTGTGAATGCCACAGACACTGCTTTCCCCCACAGGTATCTGACAATGGGAAAAAGGTGGGAAACCACCCGACCTGAAGCATGTGTGCCCTGGCAAGCCTTAGTGAGATGACCACTGGGACATTAAGAATATTATGTCCCTGATTCTGGGAAGCAACATGATCACAGGTTTATCATGGCAGACGAGATGCTTTAGGTGTATCTGTCAGCAGAAACACCTCAGACTATCTTCACAGTCAAGAAATTAAGAAACTGAACCTAAAGAAGTATTACCCAGGGAAGTAGTTCAGGCACCATCCCTGGAGGTATTTAAAACACATGTAGATGTGGCACTTAAGGACATGGTTTAGGGGTGGGCCTGTGTGAGGGACTGAAATGGTAATGTTTAATGGCTCAAACAACTGGCCATTTGCAAAAGCAGCAGGTGCTTTGCTGATGATGTGCAAGGGAACAGCTCAGGGGCAGAGGGGGTGAACATCCACCACCATAGGGGACAAGCTGGGCTTTGAGACAGTTAAGGGAACAGGCTGAAAAGCAGCACATCCTGTGAGGTGGGATAGTGCTTTTTATCATGGCAATGTCCTTCCTTACACAACTGGCTCAGGGGTGAAAACTCTCCTCCCTCTCTGGGGGAGATACTGGGACATTCACACCTGGGCCTGAAGATTTTAATCCCTTCTGATGAGGCATTACTGGCTCAAATATGCTGATGTGAGAGGCAGCTGTCATGTCTTGCAAGGTGTCATAAACCATCAAAGCCCCCCGAAGTGCCCCTCGGGCACTTTTCTGGGGCCTTCCACCAGAGGATTGTACATGATCCACAGTGTTGCAACAGATCCACAGGCTTGCAACAGACAGTGTAAAACAAATCTCCCCCTAGGGGAGTTACCTGGGCATTCCCATGTAAACCTAAGCCTACATTAATCCATTGGATTTTGTGTTTCAAGGGCTTCCCCCATCCCCGACAGATCAAGTCTGTGACCATCACTTCAGCCAATGGACATCAAAATTGCAACAATCAAGTTTCATCACTGGATCCATAGGTGGTGAGATCTTTCTGCTCTTATCCTTTCTATCTTTTCCTTATATATTTTCTTAAGTGTTATTTTTATGCTTTTATTTAGCTATATTACTATAGATAATAATAACCCAAACAGCTCCAGACCTCCTTTCCATGGCAAACAAACTGTTCTAAAATAAACCCTACATATATATGTATTTATAAACACCAGTCATTCGGTGTCATTTCACTCTAACCTGCCCCAAGGGATCTATTAACAAGAACCCTTGCCTACAGGGGTGAGTTGTAGCAGCTTGGCAGTGTCAGATTTATGGTTGGACTTGATGATCTTAAAGGTCTTTTCCAACCCTAAATGATTCCACGACTTTAGGCAAACAAGCAGGGAATGCTGTCCTAGCTGGCAATGCCACTGAGGCACAGTGTGCCATCGTACTCACATCCAGTTCTGTCTCCTCCTCTGGCAGGCCCAGCAGCCCCTTGAGCTCCTCATCCTCACCACCCATCTTCTCATCCCCCTTCACCGCCGACGGCAGCGTCTGCGGCTTCTCGCGCAGGGTGTACGCGCGGGTGGAGGCTCCGAATGACACCGTGGAGTCGATGGGGATCTGCTGGGGTTTGTGGGCTTCCAGGCGGATGTGACCCAGGAACGTGCCATGTGCTGAGGGCGTCAAAATGCAAAATAGTCTGTTAGTCACCAGACTGGGCTCACGGTATTCCAGCTCCAGTTTGAGAATCTCAGAAACTGTAATAACTGTTCTGAGGTACAAGGCACTGAGGGACTGCTGAGAGTATCGGCTATGTACATTGTACCCATCATCTCACACACTGAGATAACACACACCAGAAGTCCTCAAAAAGTCATGGAAATCAATTACAAACACCCTTTACTTTCTGTATTCCTGCAGGTCCCAATGTACTATGTCTATGTCTATGTCTAGACAGTGGAAAAAACCACATGACAAGTTTCAGACCTTGGGAAACCACCCAAGAGAAGGATTTGCTAAAATTGTGAAGGCCAAGTCGCTTTCCTCCTCTCCTTTTGCCTCTTAAAGAATCTAGAAATGTTTTAAATAAGAACTGAGGCAGATGTAAGCTGACTGGAGCAGACACTCCTTTGCTCTAACCCTTACCCATCTTTCCCTAGGACGCAAATTCCGATTATATCCATCTGTCCACACAGTGCAAACAACAGTGGGAAAGGAAAAAGTGTCTCAGATTCAGAATGTTTAAGCACTGAAATATTGCACTTCTGTCTGGTTAAATGCCACACTACTTACTGCTGTTCAGATCTATGAGGAAAACCCTCTTGAGATGTTTGTGATAGACCAAGGCAGCATGGACCCGAGAGCAAGACTGGTGGTCAATGGTAAAATCACACAGATCAGGATTTCTCCCAAAGAGATAGTATTTCTTCTCATCAATGATGAGTTTCTGAGTAGAATGTCAAACAGAGAAGCATATTAGACTCCTAGAATCTTTTGGATCTTCCTGAAAAAATTCAAGAACATGAATAAACAGAGCAAATTCAAAATGAAGCATCAACAGCTCATCAATATTTCAGTTTAGTCTGGTACTGGTAAATACAGAAACTCAAATCTGCTCTTTGTAAAATCAGAACAGATGAATGTGTGAGAGTCCCAGTTATTTCCTTCTTTACCAGCCAACACAAAACAGCCTCTTCAAATCATGAGACTGCCTCACACAGGAGATTCTCTCTCACATCTGCACCCAAAGATTTTAACACGTTCCTCGATTGCTGACCTTGGGCCCAGTCCAAGGCAGGAACCCACGCTCAGTGATCTCTGGTCTGATACACAACATCAAAATTATACTTCTGTAGAGAACTGGACCTGCAGGAGTTTCCAGACCTCTGGTATAAAGATGCAAAACTATACTGAATATGTGCTGTGATAGGAATCCATATTAGTCTATTCAAGTAAACCATTACTTTTAGGCATTTCTTCTTTATTCATCCTAGTTCTAATCTTTTCTTCAAACAAGATCTTAGAAACCTTAATATAAGTTCCATAAACCATCTCTATAAAGTGAGGGACGTGCTGACAAAGTCCTGCAGTATTTCCATTACCAGACCATGTTGCTGAGGGAACTTCTTGCACCTGAATGCTACAGTACCTGAGCAGGGCAGGTGGAGAACCTTCTCCCTGGCTCTCAAGAACTTCATCTAATCTATATTTTCCTGCTCCAGCTGGACAAAGTAAAGGCTGGCAGTGCGTTACACATCTGTTAACAGGCTTCTCCTGCTTTTTGAAACATTTAACAAAGCCCACACGTTTCAACAGTATCATCAAAGGAATGCTGAGGATACATTTTCCATCAGAAAACCTCATGAACCAGGCTGAGATGAACTAGCATTCTGCCTGCTTGAGCATATGGATTTCTCCCCCTCCCTCCGTTCCCAGCGCCTCTATCCTCTCCTCAGTCTCACTGCCACACATCTGAGACAAGTTTTCAGGCTGCAAAGCCTTTTTTTCCTGTGTTAATCTTTCCCTGTTTGAGTGGACTGGTTCAGTGTGCCTTTGGTCAGATGGGTGTCCCAGCTGCTCCAGGGAAGCTGTGGGTTACAGCAGTAGGGTGGCTGATGCTGAGGATCCCCCTCTCTGGCAGCACCATTCCAGTCAGCAGGTGTTTCTTCCTCAGTTCTGCCAGGTACAAACCACATGCTCAGCTACAAAAGCCAGTGTATCTGAGTAGATCCAGGTGGCTGCTCTGGGGCTTTTCTGAGCTGTCAGACTGACACAACGACCATCCCGAGAGTTCCTCATTCTGTGGCACCACCAAGTCATAGAGAAAATAAGGAGACAGCTTGAATTAAGACACAGTATTTATACTCCTCCACCTTATTTGCAAGGACAAAAATCCCATCAGGGACCTCAGCTTCTACTACAGGTCACCTTGCAAAGTCACATCTATTTACCTGCCCACCGACTATGAACTTCAAGGCTTTAGCACTGCTACAGTCACGTCACTTCCCCACTGGTTTTTTCCCAATTTTTCCCCAAGGTTGCTCTGTTTTCCAGGTTGGATTTTCCAGTGTTCTGCTGAACATCTATCAGCCCCAACACTGCAAGTTCTCACCATCTGGTATTCAGTAATAAGCATTTAATTTATTTCTGTATGTTTATTCGCTCTTTTAGGTCACTAGAAATTAATTGAACAACCTGACTCCACACTTGTATACATCAGGATGATTTACAATTAATTGGTCCCTTAGTTAAAGGTCTTATTCTTCAGCAGCTCAAGGTACATGAGCACCAGTTCATGACAGCGAATGCTTTATAAAATCTACCAACTCACATATTTTGTCCTGCTTTCATAAAATAAGAGTATTTAGGTGATCAAAGTGTGTGTATCTATCAGCTCTTGACATCTATTAAACCGAATAACTTCTCAACTTCTGGCCAATTTCAACCAGCACTACAAGATATTAAATTTCAAGCAGTTACATGAAAACAAACAGCTAGAAAGCATAACAACTTCATCAACCTCCTCAGTGATACACAAACTGGCAGAAAATTCACAAGAGTGCCAATACTTAGGCTTACACCGCAAAAAAAGTTTTCTTTGTGAGTCCACATGTCATTTGGTAAACCAGCAATCACAGCTTAATTGGCAATTCACCTGCAACTACATGGTCTCATGACAAATGAGGTGCAAACGCAAAATGTAAGTGATTTTCCTCCAGCTGGGACATGTAAATCATGCAGGCGTCTCCCCTGAATCCATCTGTGTTTGGTGCAGAGCAACACACCTCAAAGCCTCAGTGTAATAATCTGAATAAGATTAAAAACAAGAGAAATCACTATATCGAGTCTTCTGGGTTCTGCCCTGACCTGGGCACTTTATCATCACTTTCCGTCTCTTTACAAACGTTGGTGTTCACAAGACCCCTCAGAGTTAACCAGAAAGTATAAGCCACTGATGAAGAGCTTAAATTAGTACATGGTCTCCTCCATCTTTTCTGGTTGAATTTTATTTGACTTTTTTTATCCCACCTATAAACAGATCCATCCACCTCCTCCCTGTACACTCTCCACACCAATGTGCCCTTTCGAGGCTTTTCCCTGCAAGTCTTAACCATTGTTCCATGAGTCTTACTGATATTTTCTCTTGGGATCAGAGTTGTTTCATCCAGCTATTGATCCGAGAACACCATAACTGTTTGTTACAACACATCTTTTGAGGAAGCCTGGTTAGGTTCTTTGAGGATTCAGTTTCCCAGCATTGGATTTATGTCCCATATTCCACAGTTCCTTACTCATTTAGATCAGTACCTGACTCTTCCCATGCTCAATACCTTTGCACTAAGGAATTCTATGATTCCATGTTGTAAGAAAGACGAGCACTAACTTTTCCTTTAATTGTGAATTTGAAAAAAAGTCCTGTGTTAACACAGCTCTGATAAGAACAAGTGGATCTTCAGAAGCTGATTCATTCCTCCACAAACAGTGCTCAGCTCCACAAGCAGTTATCTCATGATTTCAAGTATCATAAAAATTGGCCAAACAATTTCTTATTTTTGCCCACAACTGACACCGAAAGCACCCTCTAAGTTTTCATTTGCACCTGTTACACATGAACACACAAACCTGTCCCTGACTGGACAGCACTTCGAGAGTTTTTCAAAGACACAAATTCATAAATTGGAAATGCAACAAATCACCATCAGAGAAAATAATTCTATTGACTTTACTTTAAGATAATGTTTCCAAAATGTTCTGTGCCTCTGAGCTATAACCCAGTGTTTTCCTTCACACACTGAGCTTAAACACTGCATGGCTTGTTTTGCTGTTGCACTTTGCAGACCCAGCAATCACAGGGTGACCCTCAGGCCTCGGCACGAGGCTGAGACACCGATGGCTCGGTTAGTACCAAGTGCTCAGTAACCCACGGGATTTAACAGCTCTCTTCCTTGGCTACTGCTGCCTGCCACGACAGACAAAACTGGAGAACTCTTTGCCAGCTGTACCAAACAGGGAAACATGTGGATCACATCCAAGTGCTGCTCAGTTGCTGCACAGTTCCCATGCACACACACAGGACCTTGTTTCAGGTAACCACCATAGACTAGAGGACTGAAGCCATCACCTACACACAGTGCAAGGCCCAAAGCAGCTGCACAAGCAAGTGTGTGGCATTGAGAAGGCTGAGCTCAGGAACAATCCTGCTGCAGCTCTCCAAGCTCGAACATGATTCTGAACACGTAACAGAAGCAGGAGAGGCTGAAAACACGGCCCAGGGTTCCAAGACAATCGCAATGCAAAGGGTTTGAGAGCCACGGTGTTGGTGAAGGAGAGTCCTGGAGTCCTGGTATGAACCAGCTCAGCCACATCCTGCAGGACAAAGAAGCTGCTCTGAATGTGCAGTACGTGTGTGCCAGTATCTATCTCCTTTCCAATGAATGCTGAACGAAGATCTCTCAGGTCAAGACTGGCTTTGCCAATTTCTCGTCTTTAAATCCAGAGTAAGAGCACTCTCTCGAAACAGCAACGGACTATAAAGGAAAGCCTCATTTTACAGGTTTCTGGCCTGAGAAAACACAAGTTTATTTATGAGACACCTATTTGTGACATCTCTATCTGCTCTCCTATGCAAAGCATATACTGGTAACTCAACCAAATTCCAAACAGTAAATCTGTGCTGCTAGACACCAGAAGGAACACTTAATACTGTCTCATGCTTCTGTGGTAGCATACGCTAAATACCAGCAAAGATTTTAAGCTACCTAAATCTTGATCTAACACCGGTTTCTTAATTTTCCAATTTTTGTTCAGAAAAGTTGGCTCAGCTTTGCAAAGTTTTCCTGGCCAGAAAAATTTCTGTTTTAGCCAACTGCAAGTCAGGAGTCTCTCTGCAGCTAAAATACATTCACTGGTTTGGGTCCTCTCTGTCAACCCTGTTAGAGACTTTCCTTTATTCATTAAGTGTGACATAAGACAAAATATGAAATAGAGAATGAGGCGGTGCACAACAGACAAATTCCTCTGCTGTAATAAAATTAACCTGCTGTATCTGTGATGTTCGCAGATCCTGAATGTGGGAGGAAAAATCCAGCTGTGTTTCATACTGTAGGACAGGGCAGCACTCCTACAAGATACAGGGTGCCTGGTTAACCTTACTATAAAATAAAAAATTAACTGACCAGACAGGTTTCTCAAAACAAGTGGTACAAAGGGAAGAGCTTTTACTTTTACTCTTCTGTATTTGAGATTTCTTGACCACGTTATTCAATTCCTGCTCTTGAAGTTCCTAGGACAATGTGCCTTCTGCTGCAGTCTGGCACCTCCTGTGCAAGTATCTTATAGGGAAGAAAATGTCAACGTTGGTCCAAAATGAAGTTTGGAAGAAATCAGGCTCCCTTACAAACATTTTATTTTTTGTCTCTCTTACTAGGGCAGGTTTGATGTTCAATAATTGTGTCACTGCTTGCTGAGCCCTGCAGTGCTGTATCCCTTCAATCAGTACAGTTAATTGGGAGATAAACTATGAAAGCCCTGCATGGCACGAGGCTGCCTTAAAGCACAGGCAAGGGAAAAGTCACTTCATTCTGAAGTTTCAGAGCAAAACAAACTGATTTGAAAATAATGAATATGAGAGAGAAAGGAAATACTTATAAGTAAGTGTGGAAAATGCTGGGAAATGTTCTACTGCTGGTGCCTATGTACATGACACACCAAATCCATCAAACCCAATTTCCATACCTCAATGAGTTTGTCTCCTTTGACTACATCCAGGTGTAAGCCAGGTGGTGGTTTTCCTGCCCTGGAAAATAAAGAAAGGCAAAATATAGTATCAAAACATTTAATAAAAAGTTTATTAGTGTTGGAGCTAAAACTCTATTTGAGCTCAGACCAAACCTACACAAATGTAAGCAGAAGTATTTTGGGGAAAATATGAAAATCCCATAATTTTCTTTTCCTCCCTGCAGATTCCTTCTGAAAACACATAAACCAAGATTTTTTATGGGAAGAGTGAAGGTAACAGGATGTGAGGCATCTCAAGCTTTATCTCTCCAGGTGGAAACCAGTTGATTTACACAAGAGAGCAGCTCCTGAGAGAACTTGATATAAGGCAGGAAGAGACTAACAGGTAGAGAAGGGGGTAAGCTGGGACTGTTTGTTCAAGGGCTCTCTTTTCTCATGTCACCTTCAAAACAGCACATCTCTACCCTTGGCTTCTGAGGGGAACAGGAATTTCTACCACCCTTCCCCTCCACTACTGGTAATGGCAAAAACCCCCAAAAGGTCTCTGCACACCCGTGTAATATTATAAAGGTGTTGTCCAATTGCCAGAGTTCCTCCAGGCTCACCTATGATCGCACAGAACAGACTCCAGTACCAGAGGGGCCCCACCAGGGGACAGCAGCATAATCCTCTTCTACCCCAACAGCAGCTCAGCTCCCCCAGCCCTACAGCTCCTCCCTGCTCACCTCCTGAGGGTAGATTCACCTGTCAGCCAGCATTATTGCCACCTGGAAACACAGCACAGAGCCTGTGGGACTCAGCGGGGCACAGCAAGATGCCAGCACGTGGGAGATCCCACGGGGATCAGCAGAAGGGCATTTGCAGTGCTCAAACCCACAACACCCTCGGGGTACCAACACCCTGCCCTGCACCACACGGGATCTTTGGTGTTGGTAGCAAAGGCTCTTTTTTCACTCAGATCTCTCAAAGTCTGCATCTCTAGCACTTCCTCACGGATAACACTCTGCAGTTTGTCTCTGAGGCTGGACCAGCTTTCTGGGTAGGCAGCAGCAGTGACCCAGTTCTCAGCTGCACCACTGCCCTTCTGAGGAACTCCAAGATCACATTCCCATTCTGCTCCCTGCATGGAGCCAGCCCAGGAAACAGTGACAGTGGGCAGCCACGTCCTCAGGGTGGCTGGAGAAGAAAACAAGGTAACTGAAGGTAACTGGTAACTGAAGTTGTTTGAGGGGGTTAAATATAGATGTTCACATTTCTGGGATGTGCCTTAAAACGTGATGGTTTCTTCTGTGTCCCCAGGTCAGTTCTCCTCAGTAACTTAATACAATACAGTCTTCTGTTATTGCTACTTCATTTCTTTCCCAAGCAATATTGCTGCTCCCAATCCATTACATCAGCCTGCCCAGATCTCTCTGTCCCTTTCTGAATCTGTTAGTTGGGACTTGGACAAGTTTTCTTGCCAGGCCCTTCTCTACGACTGTGGATGTACCACCCTAATGAGCACATGGTTAATACTGATGGATGAATGAATGGCAGCAGCAAAAGCAGAGATTGCGAAGCTCCAGGACAATCTGCTGAAGTGGTGACTGCTTCTAGAAACAGGATTATGGTGGTGTGGGGGACAGACCAGTCAGGGAACTGCCTCCTCTTAAGCACTACTCAAGGATCTTACAGCCAGGCTACACCTGAGCACTGCTGTCTCCTCCTGTGCTCCCTGCAGATCTCAGCGCTCAGTTTGCACTGACAGACAGGTTCCTGTCACGGATTCGTGTCCACTTCTCACTGTTTCCTCTTTCTGCCCCTGAGCACTGGAAAACTTGTTTTTCCCCAGTCCTCTGAAATTGCCAAGTTCTGCAACGCAACTTTTGATAATTTTCACACGGCTGCCTTACTCTGATCAAACAACAGCTGCTTCCCCAACCTTTGTTTTTTCTTTCCACATAGTTAAACCTCTCAACAAAGTCATTCTACAGGTAAGTCTACTCCTTATTCAGCCTGGCCTCTGCTTTTCCTTTCAGTGATCTCTTCCTGGATACTCAATGGTCAGTCTGTCCCAACACACATTTTAGCAAGGCCCTCCCTGTACCTGACACCTCACAGGAGAGCTCCCAAGTGCTGCAGCACAACTATTGTTCTCTTCTGTAAGCTGATTCCTGTCTGACAGTCATCTTTTGCCATATATCAGCTCTGATTTTTCATTGCCACCTCTATTTTTACTTTCACCCTTGCTGTTATTTTTACTCTGCCTTTACCTTCAACTTATTTTGAACTCATAAAACAAGCCCAGCAGTAGCACAAGGCAGTGTCTTCAGCTATGAATTAAACTGCTGGGAAAATGTACCTATCCTCTGGCTTCTTTCGGACTGAGAATCCTTTCTAGGCAGTATTTCCCCTATCTACCCATTCCTGCAAAACACTGAACACAGGAAGGCTGTAAATACTGATTATGATACCATGAAAACAAACAGAAGTAATTTCTGTTAGAAAACACCTTTGGAACAGATTAAATCAATGTCACAGTTTGGGCTGCCAAACTTAAATACTTTAAAAGCCTTTTAATGAAAAAAGTAGAAAGATTTTCCAGTTTTAAATTCTAAACTAATTAGTTCCAGAGTCACCAAAGATCAGAAGTAATGGCTGGATTTGGGACTATCAGCCACCCCTCACATGCTCTGCCTTATCACACCTCTCACCTCATGGATCAAGGAGTAAAACACGAAAGGAAATCTCTCACGAAAATCTACTAGAAGAAAGTTTGTTAGAAAGCTGGCCCTGTGCTGTTACAGGAAAGCAGTTTTTTCCATCTTATTTCCAATATTAAAAGAAAAAAGTCCTCTTCCACTAACTAATGTGCTAAAATATCCACTAAACTAATTTTCCTACATTGTTCTGAAGGATGAAGAATTACTTGAGGTCAGCAGACTGTCCCCTCCACAGAAGACACAGGGACAGCCCTTAGCACTGCCCCAAGCCCAGTGCTCTCCCATCAGAACTCTGCTCCAGCACATTTAAAAATGGACAAGAAGCAGCTGTTCTGTACCCTCCAGACAGTGCATCACAGTCCCCAGTGCCTGCAAATCTCCGGCCTCCACAGAGCAGCATCCTGCAAGTGACCTGGAAGTAACACCTGGGAACCTACTGCTGGTCACTAGTTGAGTGAGTTTAATGGAGACACAGCATGCTCAGACCACCCCCTGAATCGCCAAAGCTTCCAGGGAGAAGTGAAGCCTTCCAGAAAATTCACAGAGCTGATTGGCACGGAGAACATGGCCATGGACACTATCATTAAAGGAATTCTCTGGATCAGGACATTCTACATCAGAGATTTTCTTCACTATGAGTCCAAGGAACTCAAAGAAGTGTCAGAAAGTTCTTAAGAACTTATAAAAAGAGTGACAAACAGCAAACCTCAAGTGGCTTCAGCCAGGCACTCTCAAGAGCTCCCTAAATCCTTTGTGCCTGATGGTCAAAGCACAAAAGAGGATGGGATACTTCAGGCTGATGCACAGTGTGACAGGAAACCCTCTGAGCTGTTGTTTCCAATGATTTCAGCTGGTTTTATGCTCTTCTCTACAGAAAGAAATCAGAATAAATAAAATCCTTCTCTCACTGAGATGTTGGTTGATCACAGAGTTGTTGTGGATCGTGTGCACTGGTAATGGAAACGAGTGCTGTGCCCTTCTCAGAGCACAACACACAGCACAGGAGCTGAGCCCAGGCCAGCACTGGAGCCTGCTCAGGAGACAACTTCCTCTGCTCTTAGAAACATTATTCTGGCTAAACTTCCAGTTGTAAGAAACAAAGTTTAAAAAGCTTGTGGTTCAGACTGGATATTACAGACCTTTCCTGAATGTAGAAAAAAATGCATTGTTTTATGGAATATTTCTGATGAGAAATGTGGCTGCTTTGACCAAACAAAGCATTCCACTTGGATTAAAGCATTTGCCCAACTTTACCTTGGCACTGTGCACCTTTTCTTGTTACAAATGCAGTTTCACACAGAACTAGATTTTATTGGCTCACTCTGGTTCCCTTCATTACTTACTCAGGAACAAAGTCTCCACGGAACACAGTCAAGTTTGGAAATTGCATACAAAATTTAATTTCTGAGAGCAAGGCCATAAATATTCTATTAGAGAGAATTACAGGTTTTATGATATCAAAAAATTAATTTTAATGGCACTGATTAAATAGGAAAATGAGTATTAAGTAGTGAGTAACAATGCAACAATTATTTCATAAGATTATTCCTACATTTTCAGAGTGAGAACAGGTATACTGGCACTGTAATTTACCCGTAGAAATCAGAAGACAGGACTGTAACCTTTATGCCTACCAGGAAGTCATTCCAAAGCTTTGTTATTCTGACAGCTTGATTTCCATACTAATTTTTTGATCAAATCCTTTAATTTCCATTCTTATGTTTCTTGTTTTTTCTCTTCAATTATAAAAAAAAAATCCCTTTTTGAAGTACAGATAAGCTTTAATAAGTACAATTAACACAGACTACACATTTTCATGAGCACCTTCTACAACAGCACTGACACTTCTCTACCTCACACACAGAATCCCAGACTGGTTTGGGTTGGAAGGGACCTCAAAGCTCAGCTTGTTCCACCCCCTGCCATGGACAGGGACACCTCCCACTAGCCCAGGTTGCTCCAACTGGGCCTTGGACACTTCCAGGGATGGGGCAGCCACAGCTTCTCTGTGGCAACCTGTGCCAGGGCCTCACCATCTTCACAGGGAAGAATTTCTTCCCAATATCCCATCTATCCCTGACCTATGTCAGTGGAAAACCATTTCCCCCTTGTCTTGTCCCTCCATCCCTTGTCCCCAGTCCCTCTCCAGCTCTCCTGGAGCCCCTTTAGGCACTGGAAAGGGCTCTAAGGTCTCCCCAGAGCCTTCTCTTCTCCAGGTGAACATCCCCAGCTCTCCCAGCCTGGCTGCAGAGCAGAGGGGCTCCAGCCCTCAGACTGTCACCACGGCCTTCCCTGGACTCTCTCCAGCAGCTTCGAGTCCTCCCTATGTTGGGGGCCCTAGAGCTGGAGGCAGCAC